TCATATTTAGCATTTCATACATCCAAATTTGTCTAGAGATCGCTCATAGAAAATAAATTAATTTCATACATACAAAAATATTATCCTGAAACTACTAATTTATCAAAAAAATAAGTGTGTTGCAGTCATGATACAGTCGCGATACAGTCATGCTAGATTTTTTCCTATATGTTTATATATAAAATGATATACTCGCGATACAGTCGCGCTAGAGTCGCGCTAGAATCGTGTTACCTAAGTAGATCATATTGCAAATAAATTAATTTCATACATACAAAATATTACTTGGAATTGTAAAACTCGTCTAAATGTTATTGGGTGAAGTATAGAGTACTTTCTATTGCAGGCACGAAGTGTCATTTCTCACGAAATAAGCAGGCCCATAGGGGCGACTCGAAGAGTCATGGGAAAAGCTCCGCCCTTACTGCGCCGAATTACTGCGCCAGTGACATGCATGTCACGTCTAAATCTCCATTTTTTAATCGAGTGTTATATAACATTATTATTCACTTTGGCTATTTTCATGATAAGTTATATTATGTTATATATATATATATATATATTTGGTCGAAAAAATAGCAAATGTTTGGATAATTAGTCACCCAAAGTAAAATTATAAAAATCGGTAGGACATTGATCTCTTAAGGCTCTATAATAGTTTTGGATTTACCATATACTTGTTTTCTAATGTTGGATGATGCTGAGCTACTATTGCTCTTTTTTCGGCCATCTCCGGAGATATACCAGCTTTAACCATACTTTTATAAGCATCAATTCTCCAATGACCATATGCCCAAGGTGTGATTCCATCCGATAATACCCAGTTCTTTGAATTAAGAGGACATAGAGCCTTTTTCTCAGATTCAACCATTGATAATATATGGTCTTTTGATCGAAATCCTATATTCATGGCATAGAATACCTCATTTCCAAAGAGACAATCCCGATATACCAGGGTCATTGGATCAAATATCTTATTTGGGGGAATTGAATCATCTAACAATGAACCACCTAATGATGGGAAGTATGTATTAGTAGCCATTTTATTCATACCTGATTTGCTGACCCCCTTATGCTTTGATCTAGTAGATCCATCTGAAATGGTATAGTGATATGTTTTGGCTCGAATATGGATAGATTCAGTTATTATTTTACCTGGACACTCATCCTTGAATAGGCCAATAGTTTTGGAATCAGTAAGATCGAAAATATCAGGTCTTTCTGCCATATCCTTATAAATATCTTCAGTCTCAGTTTGAAATATAAATGAATCTGTATCCGTATATCCAAGCTTGGCTTTATCGCCATATTTTTCTTTCACATATCCATACCAGAATTGGTACATATGTAATTTACTAAGCCCCAAAACAGATGCACCAACAATAATTGGTTTATTGAGAACTACAGATGCTTGTCCCATATGAGCGCCAATAAGTGTATTGGATAATTGTCTACCATACTTGAAAGACGGTTTGGATACTTTTTTTCGGAACTTCTTCTCATCATTATCATTATTCATAGCCATGATCTTAACATCTTGATACTTGCGAACATTTTCCATGGTCTTGCCATATACTGAATTATTCATAAGCTTGAAGAAGTCCTTTTCAAAATCATTCTCAGCCTTTTGTCGCAACTTTGTATTGAATTTTATATACGGTGCAAGCCAGTTAGTTTGATCAAATGAAAGTATTTCAGTTACTTCATCCACAACCATTCCCAATTTTACATAATATTGAAGCTCTTGATAATGAATTACATAGTTTTCACGAGGACCAAGATGTGGGACTAGTTTCTTTATCTCAGAGAATCGTCCTCCATCCAAATCTTCTACTATCTTATTATTATGAGGACTAAGCTGGTTCTTTTTTATTGCAACATTCTCAACTGCAGGTGGTAAGTCATTGAGATAATCATGTAACTTGCTAGGGATATGTGACTTAATATTTAGGAAATACCCTCGTGGAGAATCAGCTTTAGTATTTAAAATCATTTTAAGATATCTTTTTTGCAAGTCTTTTCTATTATTTAAAACTGCTCTAGTTGCAAGCCATTTATACTTACCAATCGGTAGAAATTGACTCATGGCCCATCCATAAAGATTATTTGCATCGACATATGAGATCCATGTTGTGGGTTGAGATGGATCATATTCATCGCCCATTCTTGGGTTATTAGCTTTAAAGTAACGATGTACCGCCATTGCAATACCACCTCTTTTGGCTTTTTCAATAAAATCATGCATAGATATCTCTGTGAAAAGTTCGATTTCTACTCCAGTCATTTTAAGCATTGCATCCCAAGACAATGCAGGTGCTGATACATAATGTGCTGGATCAAGACCATAATGTTTCATAGATGTTTCTCGAAATTTTGTAAAGATATCTGTAAGGAGAAGTACATCAGTTTTGAGATATAAATCATGATACTCACCTAAATTTCTGCATCCGAATTCTTTCCATACTTTTTGGGCATGTTCATAAGCTTCTTGAGTGATTTTGCCATTAAGTTTTCCACCAAATGCCTCAATTGGAGGAAGCTCAGTTTCATTGAATCTATCATCAGAATCGATATAATCATATGGAAGTTCTCCTTTACTACATACCAATGCTATTTGCTCTGGTGAATATCCTATTTTTTCATAATATTGTTTAGTAATTTTATGATTCGCCAAAGTTCCAATGCATCGGTCTTTATCTATTCTATGGTAATGATTGCAGTCTGTATCCTTGCATTTGACAGCACCTAAATTATCTGCAAGTTTGGCCAAGCTTGAATTCATAAACTGCATACTATCAATGTATTTCATTTGACCCACCTTCATCATTTTATATCGCTCAAATGTTTCTGCAATAACTGTTATCTGATGAGCATTGACAGATCGACCAACTGATTCACAAACTAGATGAGAGTCATAGCCTCTGAAATTATGGAACACTATTGGAATTGGTGTCTTCCATGGTTGGATTCGAAGTTGAAGATTACAATCATTATGAGCTGAACCTCGATACTTACCTGTAATATGATTATGGTCCCAGACCTTATCACCATCTAATGGCTTTTTACAAATCCAGCATTCAGTAGATTCGTCAAATTTTTGTTTTGCTATTAAGTATTCTGTCTTAGTTTTATTATCAACTTCAAAGATTATATCATCTCTTATATCATTATTTATTTCTAATACTTCATTAATTTTTACTAGTTCTTTATCCATTCTTCGAACAAATTCCTGTGTAGCATTTGGACCTCGGTATGTGAAAGGCCCCCAAACCTCTCCAGTATCAATCCAATGAACTGAGTAACAAAAGCTACTAGGTACCTGCTCACCAAGTTTGCGCATGCTTCCACCATATGATTCGTCACATTTTTTATTTTTCGATTCGAAATCTGCAACTATTACACAAGGAGCAAACATCATCCTTGCATAGTGCTTGAATTTTTCGATATCATTGATATCTTTTTTTGGTAGGGTTACTACTTGTGGAGCTTCCCCTAATCCATAACAATGATCTTGGTGATAATCTCGAGTATTCTCTGATGGGAAACCTTGGAAGCATCGATTGCAGAGATATTTTTTATCATTATGTTTAGTATCTTTGCGTATTAATCCATCCTTATTTTTGATCCATAGAAAATGATTCCTTTGTCCATACTTACCTGTATCTTCAGACTTATTAACATCTGTAAGAGCCATAAGATGGATAACATGTGGTCTTTTTGTCATACATTCATTTGGTCTTGGATGTTCACAACCTGCAACTTGGCACGAGTTAGGTATATAGAAATTTTTACTAGCAATTACTGGTTTTGGAGTAGCTGTTTCCTCTTTCCATTCCCATACATTGATTGAGATTTCTGGATTTTGGGCTTCGATCTTTTGAAAGGTTCTAGGACAAATAGGTGTTGGCATTGGAATACCATCCAAATTAACTATATTTAGATATGGTTTAATAACAGAAAGACGTTGTAGATTTTTCGTTATACCATCAAGAGTTGCAAAGTATGGACCAAATGCATATTTTAAACACATATCATCTCCTGTTTTAGAGTTATCTGGATTGATAGTACATTTAGTATTGGCAAGATTTTTGGGTGTTGGTTTGAATGATCCTCCAACAGCTCTTCTAAATGCATATACCTCAATATATATCATTTCTATTCGGATTAATGTCCACCCTGATCCATTATTTAGAAATCTTTCGATTTTTGCATCAATTTCTCCAGCTGAAAGAGTAATATGCTCATCTATATCATTTTCTGAAAGAATGGCTCACATCTTTCCATTGTGATATTTTTGCTCATAAACTGGAACTGCTATCTTACCTTCACCTTTCTTTTCCATTTTCATATAATTGCAGTATACCACTATTGCTGATTTTATTTGATCTTTTCTTCGAAGTTCAGCTTTAAGTACACTTGTAATTTGTTCTCGAGCTGAAGCTATAAGCTGGGGCATATATGGAGCTTCTGCATATTTTTCGGGATCATCTATTGGTGTATTGAAAGCATATGCAGGATTTTCATATGACGGAACAATTGCCTGCCATTTGGATAGTGAAGATAAACTTGAGTGTTGTCTATCTGGATCTCCAACTTCAGCCTCTTCAAAGATTATATCTCCTGATGGTGCTTTAACAGCAATACTATCAAATCCCGAATCTCTATAGTGAGATTTAAATTTTTTGCTCTTTGCCTTATCTGCTAAAAGAGTACCTCCCAATTCAGGCCAGGATTCTTCGATCTCTGGTTCTTCTATTAAACCCAATGCAATAAGTAAATCGATCTCTTCTTGGGTAATATTTGATTCATTATTAGAATCTAAAGAATCTTTGCTTTGTGATATCTTCTCTCTATGTGCTTGAGTTGATGGACCTGGGCCGGCTTCTGAATCGATTTGTGGAATTGGTAAACTTTTTCGAATATAATCAACAACATCTTTCCTACTAACTTTCACTTTTTTCCCCCTTAAATATTGTTGTAAACCTTGAATTGCTTCATAAATAACTGAAACCCATTTGGAAGATAATTGTCCTTTCAATTCCCCAAGACCTTCTCTTTCTATTTCAGAATAAAATCGTTGTCTAGTAAACTCCTTTGGAATACAGCATTCCAGTTGCAAATTCTCGAATTTACCTAATTTTCTTTTCACATTTTGATATTCCCATTCAACTTTTTGATCTGAGAATAGTGTATCAGAAGTAATAGATGTTTCTGTATCTCGAATTGGTTCAGGTATTTGTATAGGAATGTTAGTTGGAGTAGGTATTGGATCAATATTTCTAGGACGACATGGATTTTTTCGATTAAGATGGGCACGAAGCATTTGTGGTGTTGCACATATATATCCACATCGATCACAAGTACGATTTTTCTTATCTTTTCTAGTCATGTATATGTATAATAAATTTATAATATAATACTTAAGAAAATCTTTTGTTTAATTAATTAATTGGGTATATCAAAAAGGGTATTATGTTATCCAATACTATAATAGATTACATGCTAGGGCTTCAAAAATGTCTTCTCAATAAGTGAAAAATCTGGCTCAAATTTTATTAGACTTAGCGTATATCAAAAATTTTTTATTAGACTTTTTCATTAGACTTAGCATATATATATATCGAAATTTTTATTAGACTTGGCATATATGTATAATTTTTATTAGACTTTTGTGTGCCAGAAAAGACAGAAAAGTAGTGAAGAATCGGCTTTAGATTGAATTCTGCTATATCAAAAAAAATGATATCATTCTTGATATGGATTTGGATAAAAGATTGTGTTCTAGATGTATGAAAAAATGATATGCTATTTGGTGTTTTGCGTGGTTTATTGATAGCAAAATGATTAGTGATAAAAATCATTATCCTTTTTGATATGAATTTGGGTAAAATAATGTATTCTAGATGTATGAAAAAATGATATGCTACTTGGTATTTTGAGCTTTGAATTGATAGCAAAATGATTAGTGTTAAAAATCGTTATCCTTTTTGATATGAATTTGGGTAAAATAATGTATTCTAGATGTATGAAAAATGATATGCTATTTGATATTTTGAGCTTTGAATTGATAGCAAAATGACTAGTGTTAAAAATCGTTATCCTTTTTGATATGAATTTGGGTAAAATAATGTATTCTAGATGTATGAAAAAATGATATGCTATTTGGTGTTTTGAGACGTGAATTTATAGTAAAATGATTACCACTGTGCCAGAACACCCATTTTTTCCCTACTTTTCTAAATTAATTTTCTTAAAAAGAAACATGCCAATAATTAAATTTTTTAATTTAATTGATAATTTTTAATTAATTGATAATTTTTTAATTATGGATTGGTTGGTGGTCATTTTATTCTTTGTAATTTTTCATTTTAAAGAATTAGGTTGTCATAGATATATTGATTATTGTAAAGTGAAGATAATATATAGATTATATTCATTCTTTTCATTTTATTTGTAAATATTTATTTTAAATATTTTTCTTTAATAATTTTGATCTGGGTTTTTTTTATACTGAATTTTGTTTTTTTTTCTATAAACATAAAATAAAATAAGAATTGTCATTTTAAAAAGTTAAAATTCATTAAAAACTATATAATCTATATAAAAAAATAATTAATTTTAGTGATTCATATAATTCAAATGTTCAAATATTCAAATAAATTAACTACTAAGGAATAAGATGTTTCTCTTACAATGAAGTTATGCATAAAAATGTAATATACATACATTATATACATATATTTTTTATTTTCATTTTTTTACTGTATCAAAAGACCAATACTATATAATAAACACAACCAATACTTATAATACTATTAAAACATATATATATTAAAATGTAAACTATTTATACGTGTGGTAGAAATAGGTTGATCACTTGACTCAATCAGGTGACTTTTTGATGCAATTAATTGAGTCATGAAAAACATATAAATAATTGAGTTGGACACAATTAATTTGACAACATGTATAATCACATGATTTTACACAAAAAAATTATTTCACAATAGTTATTCTAATAGGTTTGGTTGTTGCTGATGAAACATTATTTATCAGATAATAAATCTGTCTATTCTCTGACTCCATTATTTCATAAATTGCTGATTTTCTATTTAAATTTCCACCATCTTTGAAGGTTTTATTGAAAAATTTATTAATATGCATATGATTTTTTTTTTCTACTGGTGAACAAGAAAATGATTTAAGACCAAATTTTTGATGGATGCTCATAAATTCATGCACATGATGTACAAGTACATGTATATATGGGTCACATCAGATGCATTATACAAGCCCTCAATAAAATTATTTTCTAAAGGATTACCTTGAGATTTGGTTAAAAATTTCTTAATCCATAATGATGCATCATTTTGAAATAGCAAAGGATTATAATTTGAATTGCACATATTATTATATAAAGCAGCAAAACCATCCCATAACTCTCTTATTTTATCAGCACATGATGGAGGAAGAACTTTTTTTAAATCAAATGATTGCAATACTTTTAACTTATCAGGACCCATAAGTGATGTATATGTCCACTGTTTAGAATTTTCAGCCAATGAAAATTTAAAAGAGACTTTAATTCTCTCCATTTCTTCTTGTACAGTTTTTCTTAAAGTTTCTGAATAATTTTTATTGCTGGACTGAGTAAATTTAATTTCATTGAATAATAAACTGAGCAAATGATCTATTACCCTGAGCATTAGATGTAATTCATCAATGACCCAATGATCAAGTGGGATCATTGAAAATAAAGGCTGTCTAATTTGACCATTGTGTAGTTTTGGATTTTTAGGATCATAATTAACTGATAACTCTTCCATTTTTTTTGAAATACTCCAATTTAAATTAAGTTTTCCTTGTTGAGATTTATTGCAATTGCACCATGGACAAAAATAGTTTGAATTAGCAGCATTAAATCCAAGAATAGTTGCTAGGAACTTCCAATCACTTGAAATATATAAAGATACTTTCCAACACTTATCAAAATTATCTACAAAGCCATTTTGTTTTAAGTCCTTTAATTCTTGGATTAAAGGACTTAAAACATTTTTTAGGCATTCATAATCCTCCTGTCCTGTATAAAGTGCTAAAGAATAATGATTGCTGGGACTAAAAATATTTTCATGATCATTTAACAATGCAAATGTTATCATGACTTGTTTTATTTTTCTTCCAACATTTCTTCCATCCCCTGAAATTCGTATATAAAGGAATTCATCACTATCTTTTAATATTCCATTTTCAATAAAATAAGGAATTAAAGAATAAAGAATATCTTTAATATTTCTTCAAACTCCATTTCCACGTGATTCTTCTGCTACTAGTATATTTTCACTTATTTCTTCTTCTGTATCATCATCAATATCCATGTCATTTGTAACACTTTTTACAGTTTTTTCAAACGATGTATTGAAAGTAAAAAATTGGTATTTTTTCAGTAATTATTTGATTGATTTTTTTTTTCTTTTTTTTCAATATTGTGTTCATGAGGTAAAGAGTTCACTATTGCTGTTAATGCTCTATATGAATCTCTACCAATATTATGTTCATCTAATACTTTGACAATAGCTTCTTCTTCAGCATTTGAATTTTTTTTATCATAAGTAAGTTCATATTGAGTGCCATTTGTTTCAAATGTTGTTTTGACCAATGTTGCTTGTTCCAAGTTTTTATTAATATTTAAAGCAGATGATTTACTATTTTCAAATGTCTGCAGTATACTTTGGCCCATTGATATAACCCTTGATCTCTGAGTTGAAGTTGATAAATTATCAAAAGAATCAATTTTTTTTCTGATATGTTTTTCTTTAGGAGGGTTTTGTTCACGATAATCCTTAAGGCAATTGTAACCCAAATATTAATGGTCCTGACTTTCTTGTTCTTGTACTATCTCCTTCAAATTGCTTTAAAATTATTCAAATTAATAAATTTTTTTTAATTATTCAAAAAATAATAAATAATATAAAATGAATTTACTTTCAAAAATAAATCAACAGCTTCTGTTGCTGATTTTATAGAAATTACATTAAATTTATTAACATCATCAACCCAATCAATTTGATAAACAGGATCATTATTTTCATTATAATTAATTGAGCATGTTATGGTATTTTTTACAAATGTTGTTTTGATCTTATAATTATCAGGAATAGGGTGGGAACTTCCACGAGTAGTTTTTTAGTTTTCAGGATAATGTCCTATATTTATAACTTCATAAATGAAATTACTACTGACTGAACCTTTGTTGGTGTATTTAATAATGGGATCATTGGGATAATTGCTTTCTTCAATGGAATTATTTGTTGGATTCATTTTAAATTGTTAAAGATAATGGCAATTTATAGGAAATATAATTTAAATAAATGTTGAATCAAAGAGTAAATTTTTTATTATTTTATTCCAAATAATTATTTCTTTATATACTTCTTTCAATGTGAAATGAAACATCTATATACAATGAAGTTTTAATTGTAGAATACAAGACACATCTCTAAATCAATTAAAACTACCAATTATGTATATTGAATTTTACATATCATGGAAAATTAATAAATAAATCGGAAAATTAAAATAAATTTATGAAAGTTGCACAAAAAGAAATCGGAAAATTCAAAGTCCATTATTTAATACCAATAAAATAATTGACTCACGGAAAATATTTCAAACAACAGAGAAGTAAATATTCTAACATTCTAAATGTAAGATCTTAATTCTCAGATTAAATTTAAACTAAGGAATTTAAATGATTAGATCACTTTAGAAATAACTTGAAAATAATTCTATACAGAAGGTTCAAATAATACATTTAATTAAAATAAATTAGGATTTCAAAGAAATTGGAGAACTAGATGATAGAACCTTTAACATGTATAAGCAGCATTGTAATTTTTTCAGCTTCGTTTATCATTTTTATCATCATCTTTATAATCATCTTTATAATCATCTTTACCAATCATCATAATAATTTAATAAATAACAAACTGTTTTTAACCTTGTCCTTGCCCTTTTCCTTGTTGTTTTCGAATATTATATTTTCGTAATGATAATAAATCTATGTCTAACAATAAATTCATACTAATTCCGTGCATAATTATTTTCTCTTATTTTATATTTGTCTCTATTTTTTTATTATTTTTTATTTCTTTTCTTTTTTTTTAGTGAGGTAATAATATTTAATGAATTTTATTTAGTAGTTTTGGAAAACATACCTGACTTGAGTAGGAGCAACCCACAAGAAACATGATCAGGATATAGTGTAAAATTTAAAGAAGTTTAGTATTGCTTAGTATAAGGAATTGTTTAACGATAATGATAGATAATTTTGAAAGTAAAGCATAAATATACAGATTTAGTATAAATAAATTAGAAGTAATTGTATAAATATTGTTGGCATTGTAAATAAATAAAACATTGAGGTCGTGGATAATTTTACAATATCAAATATAAATTCGTGTAACCATTTTTAATTTTCAAATAGTGCGTCATTAATTTGACATGATCAACGATCAGGGGAAATTTGTAAAAAATAAATTAGCAGTAATGTTATGTATACAGTGTATAAAATTCAATGTGCGGAATGTGCGGGTTTTGATTACACAAGAATCAACCAATAAACATTGGTAAAA